GTTAGGAACAAGCCTAAGCAATAGGCCGAGCTTTCATAATTAACAGTAAGTCTCTGTGTCATTATTTGGGAGTTGGCTGGTGGGACAGAAAAAGACTCATTACACAAGCCCAGGGCTCAGTCACGTGAGAGGACCCAGCAAAAAGAGAAGTAAGGGTGTGGCTGAGCAAGGGCACTAGGCCAGAAAAGCAGAACTGAGCACACAGGGGTCAACACGTGACTCGAAGGGCGTGGGAATCCACGTTGGCCCAGAGGGGTCTCGGGAGTTTGGGATTTGAGGTGCCTCCTGCATGCCCACAACTGGAGAGGAGGTAGAGGGGAAAGGGACCCACCTTTGAAAATCCTGTTGATGGTGAGGGGCTTGTCTCCATGAAGGGAGCCCTTTCCTCCCTCCAGGCTGAAGCCCAACCCTGCAGAGGTCTTCTCCAGAGTCACTGTGCAGACAGTGGCCTCCACTGCAGGGGAAAGCACATGGGGGTGGTCAGCGATCTGCTCTTCTCCCAGGCCCAGCTGCCCGGGCTGATGCCAGCCATTTAATCACACACACACACACACACACACACACACACACACACACACACACACACACACGGAAACACAGACTCACATCTCTGCAGCAACCAGGCAAGCTGGGAAGGTGGGTGGGGGTTACACATTCCCACACAGTGCCACCAAGGGTGGATCTAATTGGCCAAAGGCAGTCAGTATGTGGCTTACGAGGGGCCTTTCCCCACACCAGTCCCCATCCCACTGCACTGGGAACACCTACTAGATTCTGTAGAAATGTCGCTGGCTGCTGAAGCTGATGCTGCAGAGTCAGTAGAGGAGTTCAAGTCGTGAGTGGCCTCCACAGTCGCTCTCCTGGTGACAATGACAGCTTGCCTTGGGTCCCGAGCTTGCCGGAGGATTGCCAGGGCATCATTGTGGGTAGCCCCCTTGAGAGATTTGCCATTGATGGAAAGGACCTCATTGCCCTTTTGAATTGTGCCTTCCTGGGAAGCCAGGCCATTTGGAAACACTCTGTGGACCTAAAGAAGGCAAAGGAATCAGAACCCACACACCACCCAAATCAGATCCCCGTTTGTGCTGACAGAGGACTCCAAGCCAAAGGAATCAGAGCCCACACACCATCCAAATCAGATCCCCATTTGTGCTGACAGAGGACAAGCCAGGTATCCACCCAACCCCAGAGGAGGTTAGGGCAAAGACTGACTGTATCTCAGGGCAGACAAACAGGCCCGGGCCAGCTTCTAGTCGAGGCAGAAACCACCAAAGGGGATGACCAGAGAGTCCCCAGCACTCTTCCCACACGATACCCTTGACTGATCACTCCAGCCCCGTCCACTCCCAGAGAACGTCTTCTGCCTTATCTACCCCAGATCACATTTCTAAGAATGCTTTCCTGGCAAAAACTGAGTCTCTGGCTTATGGAGGGGTATTTATAAGAACAGGTTTCTAAGATCTGGAGACACCAGGTTAAACAAAATCTTCCAAAATGTTCATTGTTTAAAGATCCCTGCAACCCTCCGAGCCCAGTTTACATCTCGGTTCTCTGAGTAAGCAACGTAATAACGTGATAACTTTCTAAACACATTTTAGGGGAGCTTATCCCTTCTGGAGATACACTCAGGTCCCATTTCTACAGGAAGTACTTGAGGGGCACTATCCTAGGCTGCCTAGACATCGTCATTCTTTAGCTGACCCCTTTTCTCTTTCTGCATGATATGCAGGAAAAAAATAAAAACCTATCTTACGGCCAGAAAGAAAGACAGCTCAGTGGAAAAAGGTCCTTTCCAGCACACCCAGTGGCCCCTTCCTTTGCAAGGAATTTCCTTCTATGAGCTCCTCTTTACATAGTATGGAAAAGTCTACAGTCCTAGTCCAGAAATTTTTAAAAATGCTCTGTGGCTATAAATGGTGCCTATCTAAATCCTAGTGACCATCACAATCTACATTTCCAAAGGAAATTATGTGATAAAGTTGGCCCCAATTCATGTGTGCATATGCATACACACACACACACACACACACACACACACACACGTGTGTGTGTGTGTATGCACATTTGCATGTGTCTGCAGCAGTGTATGGGTCCACATACATGTAGAGACCACAGGACAACCTCAGCTGGCACACCTTAGGCATCATTCCCATTGTTTTTTTAAGACAGGGTCTCTCGGTAGCCTGGAATTCACTGAGTAGCCTAGGCTGGCTGAGCAGCTGGGAACCTGCCTGTCTTGGCTTCCCGGGCTCTGGAATTAGAAATGCACCTCCGTTCCCACCTTTCCTTTAACATGAGTTCTGGGAATCAAGCCAAGCTTCCTATGCTTGCAAGGCAAGTGATTTGTTGACTGAGATATCTCCCTGATTCTGGTCTCCGTTTTTAATGTATCCTCCACATATTTTCAAAAATATAAGTATTAGGGCTTTAAACCGTGCAAACTTTCCATGTTCAGATGTTCTGGTGTAGAACATGTGCATGCATACACATGTGTGCATGTATGCACATACACTTACACATATACACAGCATATTTTTATGCTCCATGTACATTTAGTGTTTGTTTTGGTGTACTGGGGCTGTTGAGGGTGCACAGAGACCTTCTTCATTGAAAAGGATGTAATGTCAAAGAGTTAAATCTGCATCAGATAGGAGCCCACACTGTGCCTTTTGAGAAGAACGGTCCCAATGACTTTCCTTTAAAACCCCTGTTCTTACCCTGCCCAGTGGCCTGGTGTTTCCCAGCACAAGACCCCTTCCAGGCAAGTCTTCTCACCCCCAGCAACCCACTCTGGCTCTGGCATGCCGATTCCTGGGCCACTCACCGTGATCACCTTGTTTTCCAGATCTGCCCCTCCTGCCAAGCTGAATCCAAGGCCAGTGCCTTCTTCCTTGTGTAAGATGGTGACGTGAATGCTGTCTAATTGCTGTGGATGAAAATACATACATTCACAAACACTGTACTGCCGCAGTGTGAACAATTTAACACATGCTTTAGCACCATGCTGGTTTGTTTTATTAAACACCAGCTGGGCCAGGACTGCCACCTCCTCAGACTTCAGTTTCATCCCACAGGAATTGCAAGAAGCTGAGGAGGGGAAGCGAATGTATGTAAAACAGCAAGCCCAGCCTTTTTCTAGGTACCCATCCACACCCAACTCCCACAGACTGGCTGCATATCGCTAAATCAGCTAGAGATCTGTCCAGGCTGGAAGATGCTGCTTTACCGTGACATTTGGGACAAGGGTCAGACTCTCAGAGGCCAGTGCTGGTTCACAATTGCTAGCTGCTCCTTCTCCCACAGGCACAGCAGCAGTAAGGGGCCCAGGTGGCATCGCGCCCCATCATACATGCATGCACACATATGTACACACACACACAGGCACAAACAGAAACTCCCAGTCAGGAGCCAGGACAGCCTTATAGCACTACCCAAAAGCAGGGAATCTCATTCTAGTCTAGAGCTGGAACCCGGCGCTCCAGTGCCCACAAGAGCCATAAAGGTGACAGACATGGGCATAAGTGACAGGCACAGAGGGAGAGCCAATCACATCTAATTCGAAGGAAGGCAGATCCAGTGCTACTGGCTTATTCCCTTTAAACAAAACAATCCGCAATCTCAGGACTTATGACCTCTGGAACCTGATAACTTCAAAATATCAAGTAAAATTTAGTTTCAAGGCCATGGTACCTGGGCCACTAGTTTGTACATGGTACTAGGAAAGAAAAACCTGGCAAAGCAGTCCCTTGGTCATGGGCTACCGGAGCCCCTGACTTGCAGGTTTTCTGCCGTCTTTTAATGGGGAGTCCCCAGGACAGAGGAGTAACCTAAGTGTAAAAGCCCCATTGACCCACACTGTCGCACACCTTTAGGATTATTTGCAAGCTTTATTTCTTGATCCTGTGGGTGCCTGCCTTGCTAGGAAAAAAAAAAAAAAATGTCTTCTGCTAACACTTAGATACTCAGCTCTGAACTTGAAGTTTTACTTCCAGCATGTTATTTGCATTAAACCAGGCTCCGGGGATGGGTGGCTCATGCAGGCTACAAGTGATTGGTGAGAAGAACCACGGAGGAGAAACCACAGCCCGGAGGCATCTCAGAACCACCGGTCTTAACTGCGCCCTTGACCTCAGAAGGGCAGCTATGACTCTTCCAATAGCAAAGGGGAGTCCTCCCTTCCCACTCTGCAGGATCTCAGTGCAGGGATGGGTATGGGCCCTCACAAGCTTGCAGAGAGTGAGAGCCAAGAGCCCCGCTCCTGACTGCTGGCTCCCGCTCTGGCTGGGCCACTTCCTCTCTACACACCATCGACTGTGTTCAGCACCTATGGGGGGAGCGGGGCTTTCAGAATGACGTGGGTGGGCACGGAGGCCCTCCTGAGCTCACCTTGATGTATGCCGCCGAAACAATGAAAGCCTCAAGGCGAGAGCTTACCTCACCTATGCTGTTTCCGGCTGGCAGTGCTATGCCATGACGCTTCTCTCTGGACTCTGATGCCAGGTCAGCAGCCCATGGCATGTTGGCACAGCTCTGACTTGAGCTCAGAGACAGAGCACCCTGGCTCTGTGATCACGAACCTCTCTTCTCATTCATAAAATGGTAAAAAGACGCCAGGACAAGGGACCTGGTCACATGTCCCCACCACCTCCAAACACACACACACACACACACACACACACACACTTCCCATCCCAGCTAAGGTCAGGTCTTGACACTTGCTGTATCAAGTGACAGGTTATCCCTCTAACACAGACAGGACAAAGCCTGCCAGCACTATGACAAGCCTTGAGCTTCTTTAGCTACTTTCCCCCAGCCCAGCTGAGGTGACCACAGCAGCCCACAGGGAGTTCTTGTCACTGCAGATGTGCACACAGGAAACCCACCTTCAATGTCGCCTCATCTAGAACTCTCACTTCCTCGATGAGCTTTTTCAGTTCTTCTGAGCTCAGCAGGGAGATGACTGACTGGCCTGGCTGCGAAGAACAGTGGTCCCTGTCCTCAGTTTCCCCGGGGTTGGTGAGGCCTTCTGAATATTCTCTGAGCTCTGAAAGGCTTTCACAAACAGAGATAACACAGTGTGATTCTTGAAGGACTCCATCCTGCAAGGGGCACAGTGCTTTGGGAACTCTATTGTTTGATGTAACATATCCTTTCTCAGCAGCATAAACAATAAATAAATCACAGCTGACCCAAGAGGGATAGACCCAGCCCCAGGCCTGCAGGAGAAGGCCTCAGATCCCCCTAGTAAGCCACATCTGTGAAGCAGGTCTCATCCACCCCCAAGTTCCAGCTGAAGAGGGAAGCAGAGTGCACAGGACAGGATTCTGCTCATGGCCAGAGTAAGGCCCGGAGGGAAACAGGACTAAATGTCCATATTCCCTGTCTAGGTCCTGGGCCCAAGTGAAAAGCAAAATGGATTCTTGTTGGAAAGCATCTCCTGGCCTCGCCTGCAGCCCCTTAAGTCGAGAGTGGACCGTTCAGTATGCATCAGCCTTATGTGTGTGTTTGTGGGCAGTTTCCTAGGGGTCTGGTCGGTCCCCCCACTTCCCATCCCAGCGGAGGTCAGGTGTGTGTAAACTACTCCTTAACATGGAAGACAGAGCTGCCATGCACATCTGCACACACACTGACATGAGGTGAGATGATTTTTTGACTGGCGTAACTGAGAAACGTTTAACTGCTATGCAACATAAAAAAGGGATGGGGACAGTGGAGAGGAAGCAGGGCACACACACTCACTTGAGGGAGAACCCCGTGTCCGAGGCAACGACTTCACCAAGACCTTCTGTAGCTGTGCTGTTGTTGGGAGGCGGCTTTGGAGAAACCCTCTCCCTGGGGACACAGGTGATCTGGCCACAGGAGACTGACGACGGGAGGCACAGCAGGGATTTCATGACAGCTGACGATAACTGGCTACTGATGGAGTAAAGCTTACTGGCCTTTTCATCCAGCAGCTTGGTCTCGCAGGACTGGGTCCTGGTCAGGGGGAAGCTCCGCGCCCGCTGACTTGGCATCTTGAGGCCTGGGCCTTGAGCGTCCTCAGTATGTGTCGTCAGGAGTCTCAGAAGAGGGTCTGGGGAGAGAGCTTTTGGGCTGGGTCGCTGACCTGGGGGTGGGGACTCAGACATATCTGGGTCCCTGACCTCCGAGGTGTTAGGAAGGCCTGTGGCTATGGGCTCTATGTCCACCTGTCTGTGCTTAACAGAGACTGTAGCCCCCCGCCCCGGGAGACCAGAAAACCGTCCTCCGTCCTGTTTCCCTGGAAGTTTGGTGGTCTCCCCGGAGCTGGGCTGCAGGCTCAGTCTCTGGACTCCTCTCTCTGGCAGTTGTGAGGAGCCAAAGTTTTCAAAGGAGCTGATTCTCTGCCTGATGGAGGAGGAGGAGGAGGAGGAGGCCTGTGAGTGTGGCCCTGATGGCTCCCTGGAAACAGTTGCTGGCTGAGTGGCTGAGGCTATTTCCAAGGGTCTTCTGGGGTCTGGGACACGATTCCTCAGACCTTTCAGGCTCTGACGAAACCAGGCTGGTTTGGGGGCCACTGGGGGCCCCTTCTTCACAGTGCAGCCATCTGCTGGCTTGTGAACCCTGGGAGCACCGTTGGCAGTGTCCACTTTTGACAGGACCCCCTCTGGGTGGCTCTGCGTCCCATTCTCTTCACCCAGGCTGGTGTTGGGCTGTAGTGGCATGTGGCTGTGGTTCTCACTCATGATAGGGCTAAATAAGTTTTTGATGCAGTCGGAAATTCTAACCCAAGGGTCTTCAGTGGTGGTATCAAAGCTATAGTCCATCCGCGCCTGCCTCTTCAGCAGCGGGTGTTTTCCTGGTGACGCTGGCGGGCAGAAACAAAGCCAGACCTGAGCATGACACCTCACTGGGGATTTTCTTTCTAAACTCAAGTTACACTGTTGAAGGGCTCTGGAACAGAAACAACGGACACCCTGGGGACCAGCTCCAAGGGCTGCCACCTACCTGGGGTGCCAGCAGGCAGAACTGAAGAACCGGAGGAGAGTGCCCTCTACCAAGTAGATGTGTGCTCGGGAAATAACCTGCTCTGTCGTTTGACAAGAGAGGACTCTAGGTGGATGAGGGGCCAGGGCTGTCAGAGTCAGGCCAGGCCCCATGTCGCCTCACCGCCCACTCAAATGCCCTCTCCACGGTCACACAGGAAACATGAGAAGTGTGAAGTGAGAGCAGTTCTTGTGCCTCGCAAACTTTCGCTCCACGCGTCTCATGCTGGTCCACGTATTTGATTGGGGCTCTCCGTGTCGTTCAAAAGCAAGAAGAATGAGTGTTGCCCAGCAGTGGGTGTGTGCACAGCTTGCGTGCCCACCAGTGGGGTGTGCACAGCTTGCGTGCCCACCAGTGGGGTGTGCACAGCCTGCTGAGGCTCTCTCATTTCAAGGGCATGTTGCACACCCATGTGCCCACCATGAAGCCATGAAGTCATGGGAGTGTGATCCTCTGCCCACACGCAGGCCATTGACCAGCTTGCTTGGGAAATGGGTATTTCTCAATCAAAAAGAATTGATGAAACGGTTGCAGGTAGAGAAAAGCTATGTGTCACTGATATTTGAATTGTGGAATCTGAAGGGTCCTTTCCTCAGTTCTGAGGTGGTATACCTGGGCTCTAGTCTGGGCATTCGGGATGTGGGAAGCCCCACAAGATATTTCACTGTATCATCCACTTTATGCCCACGATGTCCTCAGGATGCCGTGTCCAAGGGGCAGCATGGCAAAAGCTTTCTCAGAATAAGGTAACATTAAAGTGACATCTACCTGTGGGGGGGGGGGAGCGGGGATGGGACTCTGCACTCGACTCCCTTCCCTAAGGGAAGGTTGGCATCAAGAGGGATGCCACTGTCAGTATTCTGTGTTTCCCATGCCTCATCCTTCTCTGCGGAAGACTAGGCCTCTTGGGGTGCATGTTCCAGGGAGAGTCTTCATATGAGGATGCACCCTCATTTGAGGAACACCGTTTCCTCCCATCTCTTACCACAGTGCCCAGCCTCAAGTGAAGCAGAGCCCTGAACTCTGATGACACCAAAGAAGAGCCATGCGTGATCGTGAAGGCCTGCGTGGGTACTAGAGACTCCAGGACTTTAGCAAGTAAGTCTGGCCCTTGGGCTGTTTCTGCAGTTATAAATTGTTCAGCCCTAAGGGCTGGGATGGTAAGAATTAGGAGTCCAAAGTTCTATAGGGAAGTCCTCTGAAAGCTAGGGTGTGTCCTCAATTAGGATGACCAAGAGAAGGGAGGGTAGGAAGGTGGAGTCTCCCTGGTGGGGCACCTCTCTGGGTGAGATCATTTCACTCATATTGTCCTTTACTCTCCAGAGGCCTTCATGTGCTTAGAGAATATGGTTTGTAGCCTCCCTATTTACTTACTCCTCTGCCACACTGGGAGCTCCTCAGGGCAGGAAACCATCTAGAGCATCCCTTCCTCCCTCACCCGTGGCACCAAACACAGCCTCACACACCTACCAGTCACTGTATGCTACCATACACCTACTGTATGCTAGCTGCAGTGAGTCACATATCAGGATTCCATGTGGTCTTTAATACTTGCTGACCGGTGAAGGAGCCCACAAAGGCAAAGGAAATTGCCCAGAATCACAGTTAATGAAGGGTGAACCCAGTATCCTCTGTTCTTTCTAGTAAGCCAACAAACACTGCCTTGTATTGGCAGGTGTACCGGTTGGACTTCCCGTGGCTATTCACCTCCTGGATGTGGTGGCCATCAGCAAGCACTGATGACACTTTTCCCACACAGCGCTCTCAGATTTGAGCATAAATGAATCAAGTATGCTGTCTTGCTGACACCCATATAATGCAGCTGCTTGGGGTAGCTGGGTTAGCTATAATCGTTGGACATCTTACCATGTAGACTCTCAAGAACGGCCTGCATCCACACCATCACCTCCCTGGAATCGCCGCTTCAACCAGGAAGCTTATCTCTCGGAAGAGCGCTTCTCCTGTCCTCCTGCCCCAGCACCCCGGAAGCCTCCCTGTCCATCCACCCCGGCCACTGGCTGTGTCCGCTGTGCCCATGCAAGGCACTGATCTCAGACCAGACTCCAGCTCCTACTTGATCCGTGGCACTTTCTCCAGAAAGACCTTCCTTCTGGAAGATCCCCATGGCGCCTCACCTGGACTGGCACTCCTCCTTGGCTCTCCCTCTGAGGAGGACGAAGTCGGTGTGCTGACTGCAGGTCCTGGGCAGCAGGCAGCGCTGCAAGGACTTTTCCCTGCCGTGTCTTCCTGTGGCAGCAGAGGCAGCAGCTCTCTGGTTTCCTGTGGTGTAAACAGGAAGCCAGAGCGTGTCAAAACGGTAGTCTCCAGCTGTGAGAAGGCAAGGCACTCTTTGGTTAGGACTTGAACATGAACAGTGAGACACCTCTAGAGGTGTCCCCACACGACTCCCACAGCAGCCGCGGGGGAAGGTTCCTTCCCCCACAACACTGGGCTGTTGCTGCTGCACAGTTAACCCCTCTTACAATCTCCGGGTATCCCTAGCCTTCCAACAACCTGCTGTGCCCGATGTGGGCATGCATCATAGACATGGGAAGTTACTGGCTGGCTGTGATGGACACAAGAGGTGGGGATAAGAAAAAGGCTGGCACTACTTTGCTTACAACAGAATGTTGGTCAACTACCTGACCCAGGAAGGTCCAGGCAGGGACCAAAGAAAGCTCCCTAAGAGCACTCAAGAAAAAAGCATGTCAGTTGCTTCCCTCGTTGGTTTTAAGTGTTTAAAATGACATTGTTTATTTGTTTATTTACTGTGTTCACGGCACACACATGAAGATCAGAAGACAATGTGTGGGAATCACTTCTCTCCTTCTCTCACGTGGGTCCCGAGGACTGAACTCAGGTCGTCAGGCTTGGTGACAAGCACCTTTACCCACTGGGCCTTCTTGCCAGTTCCAACTTTGCTTTCTTTTGTTTGAGGCAAGGTCTTACATATCCTAAGCTATCCTTGAGCTCTCTGTGTAGTCAAGGATGACCCAATGCTCCTGCACCCATGCCCCAAGTGCATGGACTCAAGGCATGCACCATCACACTGGTTTTATACGGTGTTGGAGGTCAAACCCAGGCTTACGAGGAAAGCACTCTATCAACTGAGCTCCACACTGAGATTCCCGAGTAATTAGTACTTGGTCAGCACCATGTTCTGGCTCCCCTCTGCAGCACTTGGGATGAATGACACCACCAAGCTATTGCAGAATGTTTTTTACATGGAGAGGGCTGATGCCTCAGGATCCTCCTTAAAACAACCTTGGGAGGAGCTGGGCCAGGTACCAAGTAGCCACCTACTAGTTACCATCTACTAGTTACCATCAAGCCTGCGTGAGATTCAGAGTCCAGAGGCGGCAGCAGCCGAGGGCACGCTGGATCTCAGTAGCACAGAAGGCTTGCTAGGGAAGCGTTTCACATCTGCTTCTGGAACAAAGCTGAGACTTTTCCCAGGCAACCAAGCATGGTAGCAAGCACAGTGCCCTCTAGAAGAAAAGGCAATGCCAGGACTCATCTAAATGATGCTTCTGACACAGGTTTGTACGGAAGAGAAACAGTTTTCTGTGCTGGGGTGGTTCCCAAGCCCTATTCATTCGGGACTCAGGTCACCATGGGCCAGGCGACAAGGCCTTCTTCCAGAGGAAGGACGGCGTCAGGGGCACTTGCCTCATTTAGGATTGAAAAAAGACATGTCAAATGCCCAGGGTCTCAGACAGCATCTATGCTGTCCACAAACATTCTTTGGGAAAGAAAGAACTGGAACAATTGGAAAGTGGTCACAGTCATTGGCCAGCCCAAAGTCCCTGCTCTAGGGTGGAGACTTAAGAGAGTGTTCTGAATTACTGAGGGTCAGAGCATCCAAGGAAGATTTCCTAAACTAGTTCCATTAGCACTTAACAGTAAGCCAGTAATAACATCCGGTCTTCTCCAAGATGTTCACCATACAGAAAAACTTACTGCATACTGTTAGGGGCTCTGTGAGGTGACAGCCATCTGTATCCGCAGACTGTTGGGTGCTTTTACAGACAGACATAGCCAAGGCCAGCAAGTCATCTTGGAAAGGATCCTGATGTATGTCTGTGGTGGTTTGAATGAGAATGGCCCCCACAGGCTCTATATTTGAATGCTTGGTCCCCAGTTGGTGGAACTGTTTGGGCAGGATTAGGAGGTGTGGCCTTGTTGGTGAGGTGTGTCACTGGGGGTGGGCTTTGAGGTCTCAAAAGTCTATACCATTCTAGTTCTCTCTCTCTCTCTCTCTCTCTCTCTCTCTCTCTCTCTCTCTCACTCTCACCTCCATTGTAGTCTCAACACATAAGTGCTCAGCTACTGCTCAGGCACCATGTCTGCATGGTCATGAACTTATGGTCATGAACTCTAACCTCTGGCACCATAAGCCTAATAAATTCTTCTGTAAGCTACCTTGGTCATGGTATCTCTTCACAGCAATAGAAAAGTAACTAAGACAAAGGCTGTATGTCTTACTTTCCTTTTTAAAAATTTCTTATTAAAAAAAACCTTACAAATAAATAAAAATTTCTCACACCAAAATTAACCAAACCCAAAGTCTATATACAATTTTATGAACTTATATGCAGTTAGAATTGGACTTTGAAATGGAAGTTGTGAAGCTTCACATTAATTTCCCACTTTCAGTATCACATATATTTTCTGTACTTATCTGCCACCAAAGGCAAAAAAAATCTGTGATCAAATGATCACTGGAAAAACAATTATCTTTCTATCCTCCTTCACAACTCCTTTCCATCACCCACACTCAGTCCTTCCTCAGGCCCTTGGGTCCACTTTTTCTTGTTCTTTCTTCATGTTACACTGCACCCATGTGTACATTTGTTTACATGTACACACTGTACACACATACTATTAGCTAGATACCATTTATTCTCAGAGGAACAAGTGGTTTATTTCTGAGACTGTATGACCTCACTTAATACTATACATTCTAAGCCCATCCATTTTTCTGAAAAATAATTTCCTGAATTTTTTAATTTAATTTTTCTTTAGAGTTGAGAAGTATGCCATTTTATGTAAATCCATTTCTCCTCTCTCTCTCCCTTCCTTCCTTCCTTTTCTGTGTGTGTACATACATACACGTAAGTATACATACAAGTAGGTACTTATATGTACGTGTGCTTGTGCCTGTGTGTATATGGGTGTGGAAGCCAGAGGGACAACTTCAGGTGTCCTCAGGAGCTGTCTGTCTGTTTTTGAGAAAGTCCCTCCCTGGTCTGGAGTGTCCCAAATAGGCTAGACTGACAGGCAGTGAGCACCAGAGATCTGCCTGCCTCTGCCTCCCTGCGCGGGATTGCTGCTGCTGTTTTTGACATGGGTTCTGGGATTTTGCTAAGGCCCTTATGCTTCACTGCAGGCCTTTTATCAATGAGCTATTTCCTAGACCTCCATGTTTTATTTTTTAATCAACACTTCTGATGTTGCATTCTCTCTGGAAGAAGTCTTTAAAATTAATCCTAAAATCATTTTGACTTCTAAACAAAATTTTCTCAGGCAAATGTTTTCTGGCTCAGCGCTTTGTGAATGAGAGGGAGGGGAGGAGAGAAGACAAGAGGGTGAGAGACAGGGATTCGGCCAAGAAGACAAAGTAGTTTTCTTCAGTGCGAGTGGTATTTTGAGACTGTGGGTGCAGTGCCCACAGATGCCAGAAGGGGGCATTAGATCCCTGAGAACCAGAGTTACAGGCAATTATTAGCTACCATGTAGGTGCTGGGAATGGAGCGTGGATCCTTTAGAAAAGCAGCTCTTGCATCATCTCTCCAGCCCCATGGGAAATACCTTGAAGGTCCTTTTGGTAGAGGAAACTGGATTGCTTTAAGTTACATTAAATGGGAAACATGCACAGACTGTCATTCATATCGGCTTGAGAAGGGTCTTAAGACCCTAGAGAGAAAACGACAACAGAGAGGAATAAGAGACGAATGTAGGAGGAAAAGAAGAAGAGAGAGAGGGAGGAAATGGAGAGAGGGTAAGAAGGGTTGAACATGGAACCACAGGCAATAAGATCCATTCGGAAAGGCACAGGAGTGGCCAAGGATGTGGTTGTTAAGAATGGTTGCATAAACTTGATCAGTTTGGGAGGCAACTAGGCAGTGTGATCAAGTCCTGTGCTCATTGCATGAGTTGGCTGTTTGAAACCTGGAGCTTATGCAGGGACACTTGGCTCAGTCTGGGAGGAAGGGACTGGACCTGCCTGGACTGAGTCTACCAGGTTGATCGCAGTCCTCGGGGGAGGATTTGCCCTGGAGGAGGTGGGAATGGGGGGTGGGCTGGGGGTAAGGGGAGGGGGTGGGAGGGGGAGAATAGGGGGAACCCGTGGCTGATATGTAGAACTGAATGGTATTGTAAAATAAAATTAAAAAAAAAAAAAGAATGGTGCATAAAGTCAGTTGCTTCCTGTTTTCTGCCAGCCTAGGATCCTGTCTTTGTGATGTCATTCACAACAATGCTCTGTTGGTTGTGTGAATAAGTCACAGAAGGGTCTGCTGGCCATGGGAGATGTCCAGAGAGGACAGAAAGAGCAGCCACAGAATGGCCTTTGTGTTACTGGGGACCGGGTTGCTGGTGAGGACAGGGAAGGAAGCCAAAGGCAGGGTAGGGCAAATTGCTCAAGATGTGGGATGCTGAATCTGAGGAAGCAGGGTGTGTGTGTGTGTGTGTGTGTGTGTGTGTGTGTGTGTGTGTGTGTGTGTGTGTACGAGAGCTTACACATGTGTGTTTATATGTGCCTATGTGCTATCTTTATTACCTTGGCTCCTTGCCTGCCCTTCCCTGCAGAAAACCTGCTTCCTCCCCTGGCTGCCTAACTTGGCAGTGCTCCCAGCCCTACACAGGGCCCCACCCAATCAGGCAGCCCAAGGCCGCCATCAGGGCAGGTGTTCTCCTTTCCTGCATCTGCAGGAGGAAAGCGAAACGCCTGCCTTCTCACCTGCCTGTTTCTGATTTGCCTTCTAGATGCATTCTCAGAGTCAGAAGCAATGGCATGTTTGCTGGAAGGGGGAGTCAGGGAAGCAGACCCCCGAGATAGCCCAGCCCGGGTTGCTAGTCCGCCCTCAAAGTCTGCACTTCCTGTTTGGTAACAGGGCTCCTCCTTTCTTCACTGTGCCTTGGCCAGGGAACTCAAGACCTTCCTCCCCCAGCCACCTCACCGAAGTTTGTCAATCTGCAATTTGGCTTCTTCTAGGGGATTCCCAGAGGCCTTACTTCACATGCTACCCCTAGCAATGTGAACTTAGTAAGTTCCTTTTCTGGTAACGGGGACCCCCGCCCTCAGACCCTTGCAAGGGCAAACTGAGACAATATGCATAAACCTGTCTAGCCTCGTGCGCTATGTTAAAAGTTTCAGCAGCCGCCTTCCTGTCTACCTGCCTTCACTGAGGAGTGGGGCTGGAGGAAGAAGGTCTTGTCAGGGTGGTGCGGTATACTGAAGGAGGATGTAATGCTCCCAACAGCCGGTAGAGGGAGGCATTCAAGGAAGCCCCAAGTAGCAGCTAAGGACACCTAGACTTAAGAGAGTCTGGTTCCCCCATTCTCCCCACCTACAAGAGGCAAAGTTAAGAATGAGCAATGGGGCCAGTTTCTCGCCGTATTCCCAAGGGCAATTAGTTCTCCCTCTCTTTTAGTTATTTAGATGACAACTTGCGGGTAAGCAGAGCACCCGAGATTCCCCGGGCTCAGTCTCCCCATCGTGGAGCGACCCTGCTCCTGACCCACCACGGTGGGAGACCAATGACCCATGCAGAGAGAACTCTGAATGTTAGTGCCAACAGCTGGCAGGCCTGGAACTTCCATGTGGGTCCTGCGAAGCTCCGCGTGCCTCTCCACAGCGGGCCCAAAGAGCGCGTTTCTCTAGGCAACACTGCAAGCTGCAGATACTCCTAATGCTCAAGGGCAGCTGTGCACGATGCAGGGGACACGCGTCCCACTACGCACACCCTCCTACCTGGCTGCATGTGGGCAAGCTGTGCCCGGGAGGGTCTGTGACCTTCTCTTCCAGTTTCTTCTGAGGCTCGCTGTCATTTTTAAAGTATTTTCTGGGTGGAGGCTTGGGTTTGGAGGATGTCGGCTTTCTCACCAAAATCTCAAAAGATTTCTTCAGCCTCAGTGGTGGGTGGCTGTCTCTTTCCAGGCTCTCAGGAAGGGGCGGGCTCTCCTGATGAGGCCTGGATGGGACCCCGGGACACGGCTCTTGGTCCTGCCCTGGGGGCAGGCTGGGGCTGTGTGTGCATCCTTCCCTCTCAGAAGGTTGTGGCTCCGCACCTGCACTGCAGGGACTTCCCCCTGGTGACCCAGACATGTAGCTGCTGTCGCTGCTGGAGCGGACCATGATCTTCTGGGCCCTTCGATGTGGGGGTGCCGAGTGCTTCTCACGTTCCTTCTCCAAGGTGGGCCGCCCATGCCAGCTGCTCTCCAGCCTTTTGACACCTGCATGGGAAGCACAAGGAAACATCCTAGCTAAGCCCCCAGAAGACCAGACATCACTAGGGATTCAGGCGGCACTCTGAACATCCCACGGCTCGGTGGCGGGCAGGCACCTCAGACTTGGAGCCTGGCAGCCTTGGGTTTGGACTCCAATAAGTTTTCTAACTTGGAGTTGAGGAAATCATTCAACCTTTCTGAGCCTGCCAGGGACGGACACGGAGATGCACTATTCAGGCCACTCAACATTACTCATGTGCAAGAGCCCGGTGTCCCGGCTGCATGGAAACTGGTGGCCAGGTTTAGCTGTGAGCCTTTCCAGGGCTTTGCAGCTGCAGAGGGATGCCATACCAATATGGGAGCAGCCCAGTCTCGGCGGGCGGCTGGTGGAAGGGAGGGTGGCCTATGCAGTGCTAGCCATTGCTGCCAACTCGGGGTAACCTGAGTGAACCATGCCAACTGCAGGGCCCCAGGGCTGGCTGATTTCAGTTCCACCCGGCTCCACTCCTCTATTCCACTCCCTTGCAGAGGAGCTGACCCCCAGCTAACCTAAAAGACATCTTACACGCTACACTCTGCCTCAGCATCCTCTTCCTGGGAGGAGACTAACACTCCTCCACTTCGGCATGTGTAAAAGGGGCTGCAATTCTGATGTTGCTAGGCTTGCCTTGAAGTTCACTAGCAAAGGCGGAAAGCATGTGGCGGTGCTTTGAACCCCACATTTGAAGGGGTACCCTCTTTTTCCAACAAGAGAAGTGAAGTGAAGCCACAGCCCCACCCCCATCCCCGCACCTCCTTTTCCTTCCCATCACATACACCATGGTTTTCTGAACTGTGGCATCTACATAGCTCTAAGACACTGTTCTTTCTAGTGGCAAATGGTTGCAGATACCTCTCTCCTGAAACTGCAGCTCAAGGGACTGGGAGCCATGGAGACCTCGTCATTTGTGGGTTCATTTGGTGCAGTTAGGAGAGCCAAAAGGACCCTCATGAGAAAGCAGTAAAGCCAGCAGGATGTGATCCAAAACACACTTTAAAGGAGGAACTTTTTGCTCTACCTTGGTCAGAGGATAGCACGTCTCTATTTGAGAAACCTAAAACACTGAAGGAAGGCATGAAAGCTAACTCTCCCCTGCATCTAACCACGCCACCCCCACCACTGTAAACAGTGCGCTTGTGAGGGGCGGGGCAGGGGCTCCCTGTCAACTCCCCTGTGCTTCTGTACATCTGGGGTGGGTGGAGCCCTAAGTAGGACCCAGTGGAAACAAAGTATGGTCCTGCCATTTCCTCTGAACGTTTTCCCACACACTTCGGCCTCCTTGCCAACCTAAGTGTTAACTCTTCAGGTTGGCCTAGCACATGAGTGACCAGGCTAATGCCCAAAGGTAAACACAGGAACCACCTAAGAGAGCCAGGTCTGTGACCCCCTGGCCAGTTTCTTCATGTACTGGTCATGTGTCTTTGGCAAGGAGCCTCTCTTCCAGGGCCTTGCTTATTCTAGCAACATGTACATAAATATTGATCCAGGGATGTAGCAGAATAATGCATTAAGATTAATAAGGAATTTTCAATGTCTATATACAGATTAGGAATTGCAAGCTCAGGGCCTGCAGGGCCATTATGTGGGCAAGGCATTCTGGCAGATGAGGAGAGGAACTGAAATGACCGCAGAGCACCTGCCACATTTAAAACAATGCCAACCTTGTGCTTTGCACACAACGCAAAAATGAGAGCCAAATTTAACCTGCGAGCTCCTGTCTTTCAACCATCATCTGATGCCACGCATGCGTGCCATGGCGGTTCTCGTGCTGCTGAGGGTGAGTTAATGGCTGAACCCCAAGCTTTCTAAGGAGACAAAGATATTTCGCGTGAAGCCTCCCGACTCCCCTTACCTTCCAAGCTCCACTGGTGCCTGTCCTTTCCGAACTTGACGCCTTCCGCAGCCTGAGCCACGGCTTCCTTGAGCTGCTGTTCAGAAACCTGGAAAAGATCCATCACCGACTCAAGCGAGAAGTGGAAGCAGGTGCCACAGACTCCAAAGGCTGGACCTACCCTGCCCATGGCTTCTACTTTCCACTCTGCAAAGAGCTGACGACTTCAGCTTCTGGAAACACCCTGGGCACCAACCCTCCCCCAGGGTCTTCTGGGTGTCGTGTCATGTCCATCAATAAAGGCATTTCCATTGATCCCCCCTAGTTCTCCTTCTCCTCACTACTGTGAAACTCTAGGCAAAGTCACCATTTCATAGTCTACTTCTGAAAGCTATTCCCTTAGCAATGATGTCACCGTAGATTATCACAGTCATCACCATGGCCATTATAGGGCCTGTGCTATGCCTCACAAGCCATTAGTCCCTTCACAGTAATAGTTAAATGTGAGGGCCTGGCTCAGCACTTGAGAGCACTGGCTGCTCTTCCAGAAGACCAGGGCTGGACTCCCAACCCTCACATGGTGGCTAACAATTATTTGTAATTCCAGCCTCAGGAATATGACACCCTCTTCTGGCTTCCTTGTATATTGCATGGATGTAGTACACAGAAGCAGGCAAGCACCCATATGCATAAAAATAATACATAGATAGATGATAAATAGACGGATAGATAGATAGATAGATAGATAGATAGATAGATAGATAGATAGATAGATAGATAGATAGATAGATAAAGTGTGAGTCTAGGAATCAAGCAGACTTACACCCCATAGTAGTTTCTCCATCATCTCCACTTAGACACAGCTTAACCTTCTAAGCCTCAATTTCTTGGTCTATAAATTATAACAGTCAAAATCTTCACAGTGTGGAAAGAGGATATTTTACAAAATAAGTTATTGCTAACCTAAATTTGAGAAACAAAAGAGGAAAACAATAAAAAAAAATTTCCTAGGCTGGAGAGATGGCTCAGAAGTTAAGAGCCATCATTTAAAGTAAAGGACCAGAATTCAATTTCCAGCAGCCATGCTGGGCAGTTCATAACTGCCTACAGGGAATCCATTGCTTCTGGCCTCTGAGGGCACCTGCACTCACATGTACATACCCACTCACAGACACATCTACATACACATAATTTTGAACAGTAAAAATAAATTATATAAAAAAATCTAACACCAAAATTTTCAAGCATGCATTCTCAGACACAGTCAATAGACTGAAACAACAACTCTCAAGATGGGAAAGAATACTTGCAAATCTATCTAGTGACAAGTCAAAATCCAGAAGATAAAGAACAATAACAAAAGTCAAAATTTAAAAAATAAGTAAAAGATGTGGGTGGACATTTCTCTCAAGAAGATATATAAATGGTCAACAAACATGTGAAAAGATATTCAAGGCCACTAACTACTGTATAAAAATCTCAATCACAGAGAAATATCACTTGACACTCATTGAGACAGCTACTCAAACAAACAAACAAACAAACAAACAAGAACAGGTCTTGGGGCTGGAGAAAGGTCTCTGTGGTTAAGAGAGATGCTTGCTGCTCTTTCAGAGGACCAGAGTTTGGTTCCCAAACGACATTGAACAGATCCAGGGCATCAATGTCCTCTTCTGCCCTCTCCAGGTACTGTACGCGCGCGCGCGCGCGCGCGCGCGCGCACACACACACACACACACACACACACACCACATAAAAACATGACAGGGCTTGGCAATGGCATGGAGAAATTGGAACTCTTGTGCACTGTTGATGGGACCTGTAAAGTGGTTTATTGTCTATAGAAGACAGTATGAGAGTCCTTAAATAATTAAAAATAGAATTAGTAGATGACCACATCTGGGAATAGACACAAAAGGATAATAGATAGATAGGTAGATAGATAGATAGATAGATAGATAGATAGATAGATAGATAGATAGATAGATAGATAGGCAGGCAGGCAGACAAATAAGACCAGTGTGGTGGCTCATGCCTGCAATCTCAGCACTCAGGAGCATGAAGCAGGAGGATTGCTTCAAGTTTGAGGTCAGTTTGAGCCACATGGCGAGTGTCAGGCCAGCTTGAACTGCAGTATGAGACTCCATCTCAAACAAACAAGAAATTAAAAAGTATCTCAAAGCCATGTGTACGCTTCATGATCTTTCTTCCATTATTGCAATAGTCAAAGGTAGAAACAAGTAACTACCCATTGAAAGCTGGGTGCCCAAACAAAGTGCAGCATATGCATACAAGGGGTGATTAGTCAGCCTTAGAAAGGAAGGCGAACGGCATGGGTTGTGACATGGATAAACTTCAAGAGTGTAATGTAAATGATGTAAGGCTGTAACCAAAGGGCAAAACAAATCATGTCGTGGTTCTTGCTTATGTGGCATGTAGGGGGGATGTAGGCAACACAGAAAACAGAAGAGTGCTTACTAAGGCCTACGGGGAGGGAACTGTTTAATGGGTAGAGTTCAGGTTCTCAAGACAAAATTTGGCGGTGGTTGTACAACAGCATGGGTGGCCTTCACGCCACTGAACTACACCCCCGACTGCCTGCCCCTCTGTGACTCATAGGGTGGGCTCATTTTCCTTTCAAGCCTTGGTTTCCTCATTTGCGAATTGGAGCTTGACAAACATGACTGACACACACGGAGGAAAGGTTAAATAAGTGGCTATCCCTACATTCTCCAAGGTGATCTCGTGGGAGTGGCTATCCCTACGTTCTCCAAGGTGATCTCACCTATCTGTCGCCATGGCGTCAAGTCTCGAGTCTAGGTCCAGCCTGGATCTCACAGCAGCATCAGCCCTCGGTATAGCTACCTACAGAGTGTCTCCATCTGGACATCCCACAGACGTCTAAGCCCCATCATGTGACCCCCAACTCCTAGGCCATTGTCTCCTGTGCCAATCCCATAGTCATGTTCTGTCTCTTAACCCAAAGCTATAAGTATTTAGGAGCTACTGATGATTCTTCCCAATGAAGAATGGCATTGAATTCCTTCTTCTCCAGTCTCTTTCCAGGCCTTCCGTGCAGACCAGGGCCTCACCATCCATTCCTTTCTACACTCCTCCCACTCGACGCTGTTCAAAGGTTGGAACAATAAAATATGAACCTGTTACATCTGTAGCTACTGGCCTGTAGCTCCTCATCAGTGGTATCCAGAAAGGACATGGATGCATCAGCAGTGTGCAGACACTTCACAGTTCAATCCCAGACAACATCGGTTCTCACTCTGGTCTGGTCCACAAAACCTGCCATCCACTCTCCAGCTATGGCTGGTCCCTTCATACTCTGGCTTTGCACTTAGCGCTCCCACATGCTGGAATGACTTTCTACAGGCCCTGTCTAGAGAAATCTAAGCTCTAGCAAGCTCTGCTTTATTAAGCCCTCCTCTTCTGTGTGTCAGTCTATTTATTGAGGCCACCTGCTTATTCAGAACTCTGCACTGTAAGTTTGCTTTGTCTCTGAATCCTCATTGCTGAGCTCCGGATAGTCCCATTGTGAGTGTCCGTCAGATGCACACACAAATAGATCTCTTCCATTTGCTATATGGGACTCTAGAATTCTGTCTTCCTACCCCAAAACTTGTAACTTAGCTATAAGATTTTCCTATGTGGATAACAATTGCTTCTGTTGTCTAAGAGTTTGTCAGTGGGCCTCTGCTACAGAAATTTGTTCCCACGAATAGTCTGGACAGGTTTGGGGAAGTAGGGTTCAAATCCTAGCCAGGAACATCTCTGTTTCCATCCAGTTCTCACCTTGATTTTCATACTGAAAGAGAGAGCCTGGGCAGAGAAAAGCCCAGCAGCACATTACCTGTGGGTCTGGATGTCGGCTAACGATGATGGGAACTGGGCCAGGGTCACAGTGGCTCAGGATTGTATAGACTTCATTGAGGGTCATGCAGTGCACTGGAGAATCATTGATTTCCACAATCTCATCACCACACCTGCAAAAACACCCACAGGAGCCTCAAAAAAAAAAAAAAAAAAAACAACCTAATACTATAACAGAAAGAGGGCCACCTCTCAGTAACCCACTCCTTGCCAGGCTGTTCATAACATCTTAGTGAGTAGCCTTTCTTTATCATTTAACCAAAGCTCAGAATGTGGTGGAACAAAGCAGCCATCTACTCCTGTCACTGTGGACCATAGAGTGGCCAGTGTTTCCTACCTGGAGCCGCCCAACATAGAAGTTCACCTGTCACTTCCCTCTCCTTCTCCCATTGACCTGGTCAAGATTGAAGTTGTGGTTTACCCTCCCTAGCCAATTAGCCAGGATGTAACTCATCACATTCTGGGCCTCAGTGTCCTCAGAAGTAGAGTGGCTAGCAGGAAGGACTGACTGGGCAGGGCGTGCTAAAGGTAAAGAAATGACGGAGGAGTACAGCAGAGGTCCTTGCAGAGGGAGTCAAGGACAGCAGCCAAGGGAGCTTATGTTCGTTCCAAGATAGGGCACCAGCTACTGTCAGCTGCTGTGCTTTAGATGGGTCTCCTTCAAAGGCCCTGAGAAGCGGTGAAAACTTTAGGAGCTGGGGCCCAGGGAGAGCCTTCTGGTTACTGGGGACGTGCCTTTGCAGGGGACAATGTGACTCTGCTCTCTCTTTTCGGAGTTCCAGCCTGGAGGTGAACACTAGATAAGATAGTATTGGATTAGATTGTTGATAAAAAATGATCCCAGCTAGTTTCATGTCAACTTGGCACAGGCTAAAATCATCTGAGAGGAGGGAGCCTCAATTGAGAAAATACCTCCAGAATATCAGGCTGTAGGCAAGCCTGAAGAGCATTTTCTTAATGATTGAGATTGAGATTGATGGTAGGGCCATCCCTGGGCTAGAGGTCTTGGGTTCTATAAGAAAGCAGGCTGAGCAAGCCATGAGAAACAAGCCAGTAAGCAGCACCCCTCCATGACCTCTGCATCAGCTCCTGCCTCCAGGTTCCTGCCCTGTTTGAGTTCCTGTCCTGACTTCCTTCAGTGATGTGGAAGCATAAGCAGAATAAACCCCTTCTTCCCCAAGTTACTTCTGGTCATGATGTTTCAACACAACAATAGAAACCCTAACTGAGACATGCACAACCCCTTCCCCCCATTCACAGATGGAGAAACTGAGGCATGAAAGATGAAACGACTTTCCTACTGCAACCCATATTGGAGACAGACACTTTGCTATAATGGGCCAACAGTAAATGCTTTATGTGTTGCAGCACATGCTATCTGTGTCACAAAAGCTCAATTCTGCCCTTGTGGGTGACAGCTGCAGCCACGAACTGCAAACAAGAACAGGTATGTGGCTCTGTTCAAATCAAACTTCAGTGGAAACAAGGGTGAAGGGCAGTCATTTTCAGGGTATCAGCAGGGTCAGAACGAGTCTCCTAATTCTGCATCCCCTGCTGTGGTCCCTTACTTCCTTCTGTGTTTCTGCTAAGCTGACCCCCTTATCTTGCCAAGATGATTCACGTTCTCTGGATGTCACTGAAGACCCCTGCCACGCAGCACGGAACAGTCCCCACCCCCACCGCGGGCCTCTGGGAGAGGGCAGAAGAGATCAAGCAATCACCCCAACTCTGCAGCTGAGTCCTCCAACCCTGCAGCTGGGTGCCCTGACCCTGAAGCCAGATCTCCCAGCCCTGCAGCTGGGCCCCTATCCTGCCGCTGGGTCTCAAGCACAGTAGCAGTGGTTCTCCTGCAGAGGGCAGCACAGATCTGTTTCCAGCTCAGAACTTCTCTTCAGACACCACCTGAAGTGGGCTTACCTTCCTACACTGCAATCACAAGGGAAAAAATTAAAAATGGGGCAAAAGTGTCCCCTTCCTGCTTAGCAAAAGTGTCCTTGTGAAAGATGCAACTGTACCACTGGCAGATGTTAGAATGATTGTGAAAGTATTCTAACAGGTTAACTGAGGTAACGCTCTCTACCCAATCAGACCACTTACTGAAGGCAGACATTCTTTGTAGAGAGGTGTGGCTTCAGTAGCTATCTGAAATTGTTTTGCTTCTCTTGGCAAGGACATGCATGCACACAGCTGGCTTACTTAAAACACTGGGGTTTGCACAAAGAACTCACAGGTAAACCTCATGGTCATCTGTGACACCATGAATTCTGTGTCAGTCGAGTCTGAATTAAAGTTAGCTTCCTTCCCGTTTTCTGTTGCACTCTGATGTTCTCAGAGGCCATGCTTCTTAAACTGCAACCTGCATACACATTTATGGGGACTCGGTAACACTGGACTTAGTCAACAGCTCCGGTGTGGGGCTGCTGAGATTTTTGTATCCTGCCCTCTTTCCCTATGCCCGGGTGATTGACGTGCCTGCTGCTGTGGTACAACTGAGTCAAGCCTGAATCATTCACCATTTCTCCTGAGGTCAACCTCGGCTACTCCTAAAGGATGTCTTTTCTGCTCTACGCCAGGGGTCTATTCAGAAAGAGAAAGGAGGACCCACCGCAATCGTCCATCCAGATGCGCCACAGATCCTGGTGACAGCGTGTGGACGAAGATGCCCGAGATGCATTGGAAGTAGGGGATGCTGCACAGGCCAATCCCCAGGCCAACACCAGCCTCTGCAATGCAGAATGGGGGAAAAGGGGGAGATGTGAGCTTTCCTGAGGGTGGGGGTAGGAGCCTATTAGATGCCTCTGACACCTGGCTAGGCAAGTGTCCCTGTCATGACACTCCTCCTGCCCCTGTGTGTGAAGTGTCACTGTGCACAGGGGCCATTTAGGGACCAAGTGATGGCCAACGCAGGCAGTGACGAGGGTGTGTAGTACGGTCAAGTGGAGAAACACTAGGAAATGAGAGAGGGGAGGCTGCCAGAAGGAGGAAAGAGGAAGTGGGTGGAAGGGAGGAGACAGTGATGAGTATTATGCAGGAAGTGAAGGGGAAATGTGCTGGAAAGTGGCAGGATGCCCCTTTCGGGCCTCATTTGATAATTAGTAACAATTAGGACAATTAGTACAAATGCCTACATTTGGTGTAAACCACAGATGACAAAGAAGAGCCAGGGTGAGGAGATGGGGCGGGGCACTGGGTAGCAGAACCAGCCCAGGCAGAGGCTGGAGGCTCGGAGGAGTGTGACTTGCTATTGTTGTTGGTCCAGAAAGGCCAGTGTGGGCAGAACACCGGCAGGCATGGGGAGAGTGGGATGAGGTGGCACAGGGCAGGGATCAAGGGCCAGACTTAATAAGTGTTGTATGCACAGGCGTGCAGAAGCAAACACTGTTTAACTCAGAGGAAATGACTTGGGACAGTTGGGATGAGGAAGCGGCACAATCTAACACCTGTCTCTATATGGAGAAATAACTATGGATGGTTAAGAATAAAAGCTCAGAGGTCATTGGGAACGTCCAGTGGGTAAAGAGGGTGGTGGAGGGAGAAACGGAAGTGCATGGAATATATTCCAAAGGATGAAATAAAAGGATTGGATCAATAAAATATCTCAAAGGCCGTCTTAAATTGGGTGACTGGTGGGTAACAATCCTGCTATCAAACAGGAAAGTCTGGGCAGGACCAGACCTGTGAAGTTCTGCCCCACAGGCACCCACGATGCCCTTGAAGGTGATTGGGAAGATGCGAGAAGAGGAGGGTTGTGTGGGGAGCCTGGGTCCAGATAAACAGGAATGATGTCAGGGCTGTGGGGACCTCCAGCATGGGAGGGGAAACAGAGGGTTTACTAGATTGGCAAGGCCCTGGAAACAAGAATTGGCAGCTAAGAAGGACAACTAGAGGTCCAGGGAGTAGGAAGGAGAAAGCCTCCTCTGGGTTTTCTTTAGGCACACACAGCTTACAAAAGACTCTGCATCTTCACCTTTCAATGTTGGGAGACCAACAGCTCCATAGAGATGGATGCTGTGGGTCATCATTATCCAAAAAGGTGGGCTGTGACATGCACTGTGCAGAGAGGTCAGAGTCATTCCCGGCATCCAGGTCTCCTAACCAGAGCAAGGCTCTTTGGCCTCATGGGCGTCTGTCATTCATTGATCCATGAGATTTACCCCCAAAGAAGGCTGAAATGATCTGGGGGCAGAGGCTAAGACCCGGCTGTTTAAGTGAGTCGGCGGTGTTTCTAGTGTAAGCTGTCAGCAGGGGCAGCACGTTGAGGCCATGCCTCCCTCACCCACACACCATGCCAGGCCTGCTCCGTGGACTTCAGCGCAGGGGCCCTACTGGCAATGGCCACTGTGTATTTGCAGCAGCGATGCCTGAAGGCTCAACAAGCTCATGGTCCAGCAGAGGGGCTAAGATGTACATGAGGCAAGGAATGCATCCTCTGCCCCCCATCTCCACACACGTTGCTCCACACACATCCCTTCTTCTGGTTTCCCAGCCTCTTCCTGAAACCCCTTTCTTCCTCCCCCTCTTCCATTTGCCTGCCTTGCACCAGCAATGCTGGCCTTCTCTTCATTCCCAGAACGCTTGCTTGTCACTGTGCTGGGAGCCCAGCTCTGCCCCTGACAGTGTCCCTTGTCCTTCCAGTCCCAGCTCAGCTGCACTTTGGCAGAGCTGGCCTCCAGAGCCTTCTAGAATTAGCCATCCACCTAGGGTCACAGAGGGAACGGCTGTGGATCCCTGAATGTCAGCTTGATTAAAAAAAAAACAAACAAACAAAATGGCTGTTCTCTTGCAAAAACAAGAAAATGGACCCAGAGAGGGTCAGTGAGCTGCTCCAAGGTCTCAGGATATTAGCTGCAGAGTTCAGGGTCTGGCCCCTTTCTCTCTCTCTCTCTCTCTCTCTCTCTCTCTCTCTCTCTCTCTCTCTCTCTCTCTCTCTCTCTCTCTCTCTGTGTG